AGGGCCGCGTTAGCTGTGTTTATTTTTTTTATTGAATTGCGTATTTCTTGTGCGTCTGTCAGATTTCATGCCACCCTAGACACCACGCAAGAGTCTGGTATCAAAACTATGGCATTAGACACTGCGGAATCATGGATTGTCTCTGAATCTAAAAGCGCAAACGGAGCACGAATTCACAATACATCACGCGCTCGTTCTTCACTGTTACGGAAGCTAATTCTATTAGCAAATTTGCAACTGTTAAGCGGCAACTAGGAAAATTACATGAGCATCTCCTAAATTAGAAAGGTGTCAATGACTAGGGAGATAGTGAAACTGGGTGTGCAGTAGTCTGGTATGGCTATGTGAATCAACTCTAAAATGGTACATATATTTTGAATAACCGTCAGCACACTCACAGATCGTACTGTGAAGCCGCAGTGTTAATTATTCCGTATCTGAATTCCAACCAAGTATAAACTGCACTACAAAAGCTGTGTGCTGGCAACACATAACTGAGAATACTGCAGAACAACCTAATGACTCCATTTTCATATAAAATATAAATAGCTGTTATCATCGTCAATCTATCTCGTCAATCTATCGTCAATCATCGTCAATCAATCTCTGATAATTGTAACCGCTTACATTGTAAGATGTAAAAATCCGGGACAGTTTCATCAGGTCTGGAATAATCACCGTCTGGTTCATCGATACACACACCAGGGTGGAACCGAGTCCCCTACACGTAAATTGTACTCGAATTCAGCTAAAGGAATATGACGTTTTAACAATGATACAGTAATGATAGTTCATCGAGTTTGTGTTTACCAATGCATTAAAGATGAAGTTCTGTAAGCGGTAAAGGCTCTGAAACTGTTTAAGAAACGATTATATGAAAATGACAAGGAACATTGAACTGACGCCAAAAGGATGCACAATATCGAACGGAAACGGTTTGAAACAATAAGATTTAACGAACAGCCGTAGGTTTTCTCTCCTGTTCACGTCTCATCATCGAAACTCTGTTTTGAATAACCTCAATAAAAGATAGGATTGTCTGGTGAGCAAACGAGTGGTTGAGATGGGATCCCGTTGAAACTTTCATGAAAACCAAATTAGTATGCACATGAGTTTGCTGCAAAGTGTGTACACTTTCGCTTCAAGTAAAATAAAATTGACGCGCACCCGAGAGCTGCACCTATAAAGTAATCTCGAGGAAGGGTGAAACGCTGGAAACCACATTTCGGTATGCACCTCGCACCCTCAATGTGCAGAGTTATGCTCAAGAACGTCCAATCTCCCAAGATACTCCTTGTTATTCAATGATATAAAGTTTGTAGAGAATTTTACACACATTGGTAGCTGTATTAGCGTAATTGTGTTAGTGGGTCTAATGACTGTATTATAGCAATCTCAACGGCCCGGATCAGCTTTACTAAGTTCTGTTACCTGTGAAGTCAAAAAGGAATATCTGTTGGCCCCAACGGTCTCATGTACAGGCTACAATGAAGGCTGTATTGTTGCGTGGTTGTGAGACATGGCCTTCTGAGAAAGATAATTTGAGACATCTTCGGGTTTTAAGCCACCGAACCTCAGAAGCGTTGGTTGTGTCGGACGGCGTCAACGGATTTGTAATCGGTAATATGTACTGCAGTCGAGGAAAACATCCAGCTATGGTGGCCCGGCCATCTGCTGCGAGTATTATCCCGTATGCCTCCTTGGGAAAGGCAAAATCCCCAGGGTGTGCACCTTATGGTTTGATAGAATGGTGTGAAAGAGATTACGAAGAGGAGCTTGAGTGTTATTGGTGCGGTCCGCCTCCCTGGACGAGGTGTCAATGACCTCCCCCGTGCTTGGCTGGAGACAATAAAAGAAATGGTGGTTGATCGATGTGAGCGTCATTTACTTTCTTTTCAGAGTGATTGATCGTTTGGATGTTTAAGCTTGTCAGAATGCTTGAGACGGGCAACCATCAGGTTGCATTTATACCCACTCTTGTCTTTCAGCTGCGGAGCTTCGAGTATAATTGAATTAACTTAGTGGTTCTAGGGCAGCAGTATCATCACTAATTCTTCTGTCTCTGATGAGCAGAGTGATGCCAATTAAACTCCGCGCTAAGGTTTATAATGCTTCTCGGATAAATTTTTTAGCACAGTTCTATGCTTCCCCTAGGAACCTCAAGAGCAGTCTTATTGGCTTGATATTTTGAGTTTTTTTTATTTCGAAGTGCTCTATACTTAAAACATGGCTCACAAATAAGCAAAGTTTGGATTTAAGACTTGACTTCACGGAATCATCAAGTAAAACTTGCGCTATGTTTTATCAGATAAACGAATCAAAGTCGCTGTTGAAACCTAAGAAATGATGCGAATATCAAACAGCGTTTGCTCCTAAATGGAAGCTTCTAATAACCTAATTGGATGTGACATTGAGAAATTTCATGGTGGATAAAACCATCAACCATGGGAAATTATCAACTTATATTTACATTTGAACTAGTTTTATTAGGTTTCGGAACCTTTCAAGACCATCCAACCTTACGTGTTGTAAACACTGCGCATCAGTTTGGAAATAAAATGGCTTGTTAATAGGTCTCATGTGATGTTGAAGGGCGATTAAAAGCGAAAATCATAAGGCACATGGTGGGGACAACCTGAAAAAATTTTCGGAACAGAAAGCAACAGCTGTTGCTTTTCGAACTCATCATCTCCAGCTCACTGCAAAATGGCAAAATTAGAATGTTCTGAAGAGGAGCCGTGGAACGCTCTTCCTATCTTTCCCGAGTTTGCAATCTGAAAAGTATTTGATTGTTTCTGAACTGGTAGGCTGGAGTTTTGTTTCTACATCTTCGGGATTGATATAGTAGGCGTGATCTAACAGATAAATCTACCAATGTGCTTGGTTCAAAGTACTAAGCTTTTGTAAATGGCTACTGTAAGTCTGAGATCTGAGTGAGGGCCAGAGGCATCCGGAAATTCCAGAAGCCTGATGTAAGCCTGTCCAACAGAGACTATTATTTCTACACTGCATGTGAGAACACAATAGAATAGCTCGGGACTATTGTCTTGTTGGTTCCTCAAGAAGCTCTGGAACACAACACTGTTAGACCTCACTCTATAGGTGTAGAGGGATTAGACAGTCTAACAATTAGCCCCAGAAATTTTGATTTAAAGACTGAGTGTCCGTCAACTTACACTATGTGTTTGGTGAATTGGTCCATAGAGCATTTATTGTACGATTCCTGAATAGTCTATAGTTGACCGGTTGTTTTATCCTTCTTCGTTGCTGATTGGCTCATGCATGCTCCATTTCCGGGTACCAAGAATACGGCCGGCTCCTTCGTTCATTAACCCACGCCGTCCTCTAGCGGCCTTGTGCATTTTTGGCAGACCAAAAGGGTTTGGTTGGTTTGTACCTTTGGAGAAAGATAGACGTCATTCGCCTCGAGCTAAATGGCTTGCCAGGCCTCGAGAACACTTGCCACTTTTAACTATAGTGTTATATAGTATAGACGTGATTTTCCCACAGTCGTTTTAAAGGTAAGGTCCTTCAACTAGGTGTTGTATGACCTTTCGCAAATAATCACTCCCATTCAGAACGCTACCAACCCTACCCTAATCTGCCTTTGTAATCGCTGCACTGACCACCTGTTTTCAAGATACTTAGCCCAATGCATGACATTTGGAGCTCCTGGCTGCTGGGACTTCTTTCAAGTGACAACGTGGATTTAAGGTCAAAGCCAAATTGACTGAGTAGAGCCAGTTAAAGACAACTAAACATAACACACATAGGGTTAGGTGGAAAGGTCCTTCTTTGCTGTACATCCGCTGGTTCGTTACCTCTAGGAGCTTGAGTTCAGGCATTTGCCAAAATCTGTTGGCAAATTGCTTTCACTTGGTTTGTTTCCCATATCGGTGTCAGCCGTTTAGTCTAATCACCTATCTAGACTCAACATACACGAACCACAGTACACATGCCATGCCTAGGACCTATACAGTCTGCCAACTTCTAAGTACAAACTTCGTCCAGTACAGTGAAGTTTAAGTGGATGTGTAATTTCAAGCAATTACTGAGTAGGGTTAGGTTACGACAAAGTTGCTTAATATGGACCAGAAAATCCTAAGTTCACACTGTATCCTATTAATACTCAAAAAGCACAACCACCAACCCACCGCTACGCACTCCTACGCTCCACAATAACGCACTGATTATGTCACCTCGATTGGTGATGAAACGTTTGCAAACAAATTGCCCAGCACAGCGAAGAAGCCAACGACCACCATCTACGCTACCTGAGCTACCAACATTTTCCTCTACAGAAAACTCAAAAAGCAGGTGTACAGATGTCAGTTAAGCACTTTTTTACGACGGTATCTTTTAGGAGTCAACAACTCATAACTCCCCATGCACAATTTATTTTAGTTGTTGAATGTGAAGGGCCAATTGTGTACAGGGGACAACCATTTCCGTGGGAATGGGGATTAGCCCGAGAGGGATCGATTGCTTGGTTAGAAGTTGAAGAAAGACTTCGGGGTTCGGTAAGTCCGCTTTCAGTAGGCAAAAAATGAACAAACCAGATAATGTTTTTTGAAAACAATGCGCGAGATTACGGTTAATTTTTCGCCAAGGAGTTTGAGGAGTTGTTTACATTTTGTCAGCAATTTAAGTAGCATCTTAGTGTGCTGGCGATGTGTCAGCATGTAGGTTCCAAGTAAAACAAAACCGACAACAGATGATCCTTAGCAGATTTCTCATTGATGCCATGAGGGGAATCATTATTGCTTATCTTTGTCTTCTATTTTGCTGAGCATGGGTTGCTAAATGCTCATGGAAAAACTATATACTATGTCGAGAAATACACTAATTTGCACATCAATTTGGTTTCCACGAGAGACTCAACTGAATCTCTCGTTCATGATATTCTACAGCTGAGTGTGCTGCACGCAGGATGCCTCATGATTCAGTTGGCACGATATTCGAGATATCACAGTATATTTTCATAGAGGGACTGCGCCTACCTGATGAGCCCCAAGAAGGGCGAAACCAGTCGTGGGCTGTCGAAGAGTTTTCAGCAACCTTGTGAGTAGTTTCCTTTATGCAAATATATCCTATCTCGTGGTGGGTGTGTGACATCTGCCTTAAACAAGCCTGACTACTCTCAACAATACACTGGGCCGGTGAACTGTCTCGATTTTTTATAAACTTAATATGCTTGTGAGTAGTTTCCTTTATGCAAATATATCCTATCTCTCATGTGGTGTGTGACATCTGCCTTAAACAAGCCTGACTACTCTCAACAATACACTGGGCCGGTGAACTGTCTCGATTTTTTATAAACAAACTTAATATGAGATACTACTGTTTGCCTCAGTCTACTCACAGACTGTTGTTCTCAAAGCACCAAGAACCTAACTTTTGTTTATTTAAACCGATCATATTTAGGTTAGCTCTGACTCAAGCTGACTTAAGGTAATCGACATAATGAATCCTTTTTACATTTTTGTCAGGTTGAGTATTATTCCACAGTTTGATTATTCTCCTTGAGGCAAAGTGACTTCCTCATTATTATCATAATTTACATGTGACTCATAAACTTCCACGTTTATTGACGATGTTCTCTTCCATTTCTTCGCTTCGTTAGGATGCCTTAGATTCTCCCTAGCCAATTTATTTGTAATTTTATAAAAATCGATTTATAATGTTTCGAGTTTATTTTGTTTTTCTTCATCTTACATCCTATTACATCAGGTTTTGGGAGGTCCCTCGTCGCCGGCATTTGAGGAATCTGTCAAAGGATTAAAACTACTGAATCTCAGTAGCACGGAAGGGAAAACCTATGCCCAAATTATGATTGAGTTCAACAAGGACAGTCTTTTGGAGCACAACCTGAGTCGTTTACTCGGGATGAATGAGCACATCCGCCTCGAAAGATGGATAAACAGATTTATGCCGAAAGCATTCAGCAACTTAAGTATGACGGTCAACGTAACCAGTAGGTGTTCAAAACGTAATTAAACGGTTTTGACGGTGTCGTTTCAATTGCACTGAAAAAAACTTTTCGTTTACCAACTCTAGTTGCAAGCCCTGAGAATTGTTATTTGTAAGAGTGAAGGCCAAAACAGAAAACAAGAGGACATGGCAGAACAGTAGTCAGCAGGTCAGCTTCCGAATGATCCAGCAACCATTTGTCACTATATATTGTGTGTAAATGAGGTTCGTGTGATTCCCGGAAGCATTTGAAAAGCCATGTAGGACGAAGTGAAAACGCATTGTCTACGGCTGTGGTTGTCACTTATCAACACTTGTAGTTGCTTAGCAAAAGGATCAATCTTTCAACGGGATAAACGTTAAAGGACTGATTCTGACATCCACTCACCATATTTCTGATCCCAGCGTTCGTAGCAGAGCCTCCACTGAATTGCTCAGAAATTTGTCTTTTGTACTTCAACCGAGTAACAAGTTTATTAGGTATCTGGATGATGCTATCATCCTGCCTAATTTGGATGCTACGCTGGGGGTTCAGTAGCAGCAGTAACAGTTTCCTTGTCGATCTTCACAACACTCCTGAACGGTCAATTACCCAGTCACTTTTTCACAGGCGTTTCACGAACTTGGACTTTTATGTTCACACGTTTTCTCCGTCGATATTCCCAGTTTGCCCAGAGTGGTGGGTAGCTACTGTACCTCAAACAAAGCTGAGCGTATTTTCCTGGGGAAAGGTTAAACTCAGAACAAAACAGTCTTTTTACATGCTTGGCACAATCATCCAAACTCTATTCTGTTTGACCGCATCATCATTCGTTGGGACAAGCATATCAGAGATGTCACATAGCTCGTGTAAATTGACCCAATACATAGTGATTCACTAGGTTTGGGTCTGAAACGGTCAAGTAAGAAGAACACACATGAGTTCGAGTAGACTTACCCGAACTCCACGATCAAACGTCTCCTCGTTCACTTACCAACCTCACCTGCTTATAATAAAACTATCCAAAAATAGATCTTCGCTGGTGGCTTTCAGTCACTCGCTGGTAGAGCTTTGAGAGTGGTTGAACATCAAATGATAATAAGCAAAATACACTCAGTTGCAAATAAATGTGTTTTTTCGGGAGACTCACCTGCAACTCAACTGAATTCCTCGTTAATGGAACTCAAGGCGTGCGCCCACCTGATAAGCCTTAAGAAGGGCGAAACCAGTCATGGGCTATCGAGAAATTTTCAGCAACCTTATGGGTAGTGTATCACATCTAATGATGATATTTGCAGGAAACAATAATTTTCCGAAACTACCCTTCTGGAAACAAGTTGTATGAAGTTAGCCAAAGAACTCTAATTAGCTTTTAGATTCAATTCCTTCAATTTTTCTTGTTTATTTACAGGGCTGGTTCACCTTGAGGCATATCGAGACAAAAGTAAGCTGAATCAGTACTTCAGAGAGAACACAAACCTTCACAATGTGCTGTGATTTTGAGTGTTCATTGCATAGACTGATAAAAATATATGCCAAATCATATAATCACCGTTTAATTATATATTATCCTATTTTATATAGTGTAAGCGTGTGTTATATCATATAACTATGGATAGGGTCAACTATTTTCAAGCCGGTTGATTTCCATTTGTGACTCAGTACCCCAATCTGTTCTTGAAATTAGAGACAGATCTTCGGTTTTGCTCCAAAGGATTTTGATATTACATTTGTTTCCTATTGGAAATCGAATGGAATGCCTGGGAATGGATGAAATTCAGTTCAGTTAATTACACATGAACTGGAGCTGAATGTTTGGCAGTCTAGGTCCAACGAGCAAAACAGTACATCTGGATTAGGCAATAATACAGACTGTGATTACCAGATGGTGTGGTGGTGATTTTATTATCTTTCAGCCTCATATCACACTTGTGGATAGATTTAGAAATTTCTGTTCCATCAACACTTAACCTTCATTGGATATCCAAAATAGCTTAGATAGGTTACTTGCTTTCTGTGGGTAGCAGCTGGTGTGTGAGGCTGGCTGAGTTTGCTTTGGAGTCTGCTTGACATACAGTCGGTCACTTCATTGTGGGACAGTAAACCACGGTCACTACTTCTTGGGGTGTGAGACACGGGCAGCTGAGGATCTTACAGGTCAGTTGCAGCTATCAGATCACACATAGTTTTTATTCTATGGGCATTAGGAGCAGACGGATGAGGGCAGTAAGCATCGTATTGAGAAATTTATTGGGAACTAGTTCTATGAACAAATTGGGTTAATAAACATCATGAAACAAACAGATGTACAATCAATAATAGCGCAACCCGTAAAAAGGGCAGTGAGGCAGCAGAACTTTCTAGAAGTTAGAGCGATTCAGTACCAAATGACATACGAACGTACGGATACGACCAGTAGGACAGAGCAAGTAAGCTTAGTAAAGAAAGCGTCGCAGAAAGCAGTCAGTACGTTCTGGATTTAAGGGAATCTCTCTTCAATATTTAGCTGACAGCGCGACGCAGTTGCACGTTTCAAATCAAAATACGCTCTTAGGATTGTTTGATACAAATCCTCAACAAAGATTATCGGGTAGATGCGATACAAACGTAAAATGAAAAAGGGCTACCAGGGTGGTCGAGTTGGCGCAGCGGATGGCGCGCTCGTTTACTTTCCTAGGGGTTCCAGGCCACTAGGGTGACCCGAATTTCCGTCGAAACAAACACTCAAAGATGTGTATAGTTGATACTAAACTGAAAGCAAAGACGGATGGCAGCAAAATCTTGATATCAGTTACCACAGAGTAAGCAGACCATAAGAGGGAGCGAAAACTTAAGGAACGGGCAGCAAGGAAGGAAAATGCCGTTATGATAGTCAATGTAAATCACGCTACTCATGAGTAGTCAGAATAAATAGGGAAATAACTGCTGTTGACTCTCAGGAAGAATCAATACGGGGCACTTAATCCCAGGTCGCTCCGTAGTATTGCGTTTTCAAATGTCATTTCATGTTTGCAACAGGAGACGACTGTGACCCTTGAGCGTTGTGAGTAAACAATCAAGTGAATGAGCAGCAAATGAACCTCATCTCCTTTCATGTGTCTTCTCACAGCGCGATGATAATATACTCGATGAGGGGCATAGTTATCGGATCTCGAATGAGCGGTAATCTTGGCTCTCAACAATAGCTAGATGAGTGAAGAGAAGAAAAGTGAAGAAGAAGAAGAAGAAGAGACCTGTATCAATATTCTGACTCCGTACTCTCGAATAACAAAACTACTGGACAAATAGAGTTGTATTCCATTTCTAATAGCGATCGAAGGCGGTCTCGAAAGAAGCATTTATTCTTAACAAAAATCACTGCTACTATTACCAAAAAGTTTAGTTTAAATACTAACGAATATCCTAATATCCTAGAAGTTCTTCTGTACCTTTGGATCCATCACAGGACCATACTCTGTGTGCTCAATCGCCGCTGCACGATTAGCAGATTTTCTTGGAGTGATTTTTACTTTTCAATGAGCTTTCTATGTTTTATAGGCCACTGAAGATTAAAAATCACTTTCAGACTGGTTCTACCAGATGAATGCTCGTATACTGGGCGAGGAAATCCCGGGACTGATATTCTTTCATTTGAACTCTGCATCAGCAGAGCAACTTTGACATTCAGTCCATAGCTAATTGTGTGGGGTGGTTGTATTGTCTTGATATCCAAATGATGATGGAGAAACGAGAAACAGACGACTAGCAAATAAGACTTGGGCTCTGCAAAATGATAGTAAGTGCATTCTACATCGCGTGTGAAGACCGTATTCATAGCTTGATTCCAGTATATCAGAAACAAGGTTCCAATGAAGCTTGATTGCGGCTGCGCAAAATCTTCTGAAGTTTCCGTTGCATCTGTTTATCGTCTCTCTTCCCGTCCAGTACTTCTCTGCGAGGGCTATGTCTACCAAGAAGGTAGATTAATGTCCTGGGATAGTCATTTGGGAACGTCCGGATCAAGTTTGTTCAACCATACCGAGGCGATGTTCCAAAGTTTGGTGAGTTCCAGTATGTCATTGCCTAATTCACTAGTTGACTATTGGGACACCTCTAAAAGTGAAACACTTTAAGGCCTCGACGA